GTTTCTTTTTTCTTTTCCTCCTGTTGATGTTATACACTTGATCCTCATTAAAAAATTATAATGGAAGCTTTCTAGGTAGCCTCCTTGCTTCTGAGGCTTAAAAAAAATTTTTTTTGATGAAGGGGTCAGGGGTCATGGACTTCATTGAAAACCATGTGAAAGCTATGCATTATCTCAGGAATTTGAATGCTTGCCCAAACTTCTGCAAATTAGTTAAGGCAGGGTGGGGGTGAGGGACATGAATTCCCTGAGGTCTAGATTTATTTAGGAATCCCTGCTCTAGTTGATCTCTCTCTAATCTATCCCTCAAATTTGTTAAAATAATATTCCTAAATAAAAAAATAGTATTTCTAACACACGATTGGGTCATATTATCCCCTACCCAGAACCATTAAATTTCCCCTTGTCTTCAGAAAGAAAATCCAGTCTTGTTGGATTAGAATCTTAACGCTTTTAGGATACAGCCTCATTTTGGCCTCCGTATCCTCACGGCCAGGATCCACCAGACCTTCTTGCTCCCCAGGACACAGTCTTCTAAGGCAAACCAGAGTACTTGCTATTCTTTCAGTATTTCCTACGTTTTGCGCCCATGTTGCTACATCTCTGTGCTCATTCCTACTTGCCTGGGACCTTTCTAACCTTTGAGTCTGGTGGTTTGATTCTTAGTTGTTTATTGACGTAGCAGCATTCATCACTGAGCAATACTTTGTGTGGTGTTCGGCACATCATGTTGATGTATTTCCTGTTGGCCCTCAGATCTTTCCTTGCCCTTCTCCAGTCTTCTTAATCCCTCAAGAGGTTTGTGCCTTCTGTAGGTTCAAACATTGGAAGGCCCTGAAGGGAGAAAGATTTAAGGAAGGCAGAACCTTCTTCACGCTGTCTCCAAGGGCATCTCTAATAACAGCCACATCTCCAGCCTCTGGCTTCTACTGGGCAGGCTTGTTGAGCTGTCAGTTTCTGCTATGAGGCTCTAGTATTAATACCTCATATTCTTATCTAAATAGTGAGGGATATCCTGCCGATCCTGAGTTCCTGAGTGCTTCATTCTCCTTTTATTTTTTTTTTTTTTACTGTATCATCTTTTCCTTCACCTGTATAAATATTGCCTGTGTTATACTCATTGCTTTGCTCAAATGCTTATACCAGTTGTTATTTATATTCCAAATAAATCTTCACTGGATCAGCTGGAATTTGGATATTTGCTGTGTCTTTATTACCTATTTTTAAACCATCATTTATGTGGACATTTCTCTTTTAAATAACAGAGTTAAGTCCTGTATCAGTTATCTAGTGCTAGTAGTATTTTCAAGGAGTCCCTACAATAGTAACTAGTTACTCCAAAATTGAAACATTTGAAACAACTAGCATTTATGAGTTCATGAGTCTAGTTAGCTGGCTGGTTCTTCCAGCTCCAGCTGGGCTCACTCATCATCTGTGGTCAGCTGAGAGTCAGAGAAGTAACTCTGCTCCTCTGGGCCTGATGGAGACTACTCATATAAGCAGCTCTGCTGTGTGCTTCTCACCCATGACAGGCTAGCTTAGGCATGTGCTTGTGACAATCACAAAGGAGCGGAGAATCACGCAAACATAATGAGAACTTTTCAAACTTCTATATGTAGCACATCTGATAGCATTTCTTTGGACCAAAAAAAAAAAAAGCCATATGACCAAAACAGGATCAAAAAGTACATGAAAATAGACTGGATCTCTTCCACGAATAGAACTGTACCTATTAATAACAATATTATTATTAATTTTTTAATCTTTTAAGAGGGTAGATCTGTCATACTAAATTCTTATAATTCTCACAAAAGGAAGAAAAGAAAATTAGAATTAAATCTACATTGAAGAGCTTTTTATTTTTCTTTTGTGGTGGTGGTGGGGATTAAATTCAGAGCCAATGAATGACATGACAGGTGAGTGCTCTGAGCTACATCCCTAGCAAGCAAAGCTTTCAAAAATGAAAGAAAGAGAAAATAACTTTTTCTGTAAAAGATATAAAATACCCATTTAGTAATAAAAAATACTCATCAACCTAGTAGGGGGGAAAAGAAAAAAAAATGGGCAAACCATTGGGAAGAAGCTAGGAAGAAAAAAGGAAAGAAAGAAATCAGGAAAGAAAAGGAGAAAAACTCCGAATAAGAACTATAAAAACTTTAAGCATATCAAAAGATTCTCAACTTCACTTACGATATACATGAATTCAAGTTAGGGTTTCATTTATCTGTTATCAAATAGGCAAAGACAATATTTAATAAACTATTATATTAACAAAGGTATGAGAATATAGGACTTTCAGACATAGAATGCAAATTAGAATCTGATTTGGAAATATCAGTCAAAATATGAAATGTCCATTTTCATTACATAGCCAATTTCATTTCTTAAGATTTGCCCTTCACATTAACTTGTACATGTGAGTATCTACTGTCATGTAAAATTATGCATTGAAGTTCTATTTGAAATAGCAGAAGAAAACACCTCACCACTTTTAGTAAGTACCATTATGACTTAACAAGATAAGGGATACTATATAACTGTCAAAACAAAATTCAGAAAAGACTGAGTAAGCCCTTTAAAAACAAACAAACTTAGGCTACTAATGCAGTCAGTCTCAGGCAAGAGGTACAGGATTAAGAATAGATAGTAAATAGAATTAATTTTTGCCATACTATCAACCCCTATAAAATTTAATTATTTTCAAACTTGGCAAATAAAATACGAATTATGTATTTGCTAGTTTGCTCTTGTGAAGTTTTATTTGTACAAATTTACTGTCCTTCCCCCAAAACTGACCGAGAAAAGAACCATTTATAAATAACGTATTAGTAAACCAAGTTAAAGGAACTCTATTTATCCTTTAACCCTCAATTTGCATTAATTGGGTGCAGCCATGGGAAATAGTGCCAACCTCACCTCAGGTCAGATGGCATAATAAAATGTACTGTTTCATGCCTAGAAATAAATGTATTCCAAATATAAATGTGAATCAGTTACAAAACAGATTCTTTTGAAACTACAAAATAACCGCACTGTTAATATATTTGTGCTTCAATTAAAAATGTGTAAAAAACACACATTCTGAGCTAAAGTTGTCCCAGGGGTGATTCTTATTTTTGCTTTGAATCTTGTGTCAGTATAACGGGGCACATGACTCCTTTGAGCCACAAGTGAATTCACAGCTCTGTTTTCTAACAGAAGAGTGAAAAACTGAGTGTGTTTAAGTTGGAAGGGTTCGGGTATGACCTTGCTTCTTTAAATTTTGCTCATCACAGGGAAATCATTTTGAATTTTTCTGTGCAAAAGACATTAATTTGGTTTGTTCTCAGTTGGAGACACACCATGAAAAAGATGTTCTGTTGTTTGTATTATTGCAAAATTTAGAAGCCACCTCAATGAAGTTTTTTAGTTTCTTCTCAGCAGTTTTATCTTTAAAACCTGAGCCATTTCTCAGTCCCTCAGAACAAGGCCTATGACATCAGACTACCTGGGTGACATTCCAGGCTACTGTCCTTCTCTGTTAGATCTCGAGTGAAATGTTTCATCTTTCTCTGCCTCTCCTTTGCTCATCTGGAAAATGGAGTTATTAATAATATCAACTTCAGATGGTCTTGAAGTGAAACTCAATGTAACTAGATAAAATAAGCAAGTCAATTTTTAATAAATTTTAATAAACATGCATTGTTATACATGTTGAGTGTGCTTTCAGTGGTAGTAGCAGTCTGGAAGGGCCATTGAAAACAAGGCAAAGCGGTTTCTTGAGCCAGACTCAAGAGCAGAGCAGACGTGCATGTACACACACACCTATGCACAACCACACATAACCAACAATCACTTTAATGACATAACAAGCGCTTTTATGGTGCCATAAACGTTGGGTGTTGCGTGAAAAGACAATAACAAAGTGTATATTTATTCCATGTGGCAGTTAAAGGGAATGAGCTATTATAGATCAGCATAGTTAGAACTCAAAGGCATAATGTTGAGTACAAACTGAAGATGGAGAGATACATATATAAAGATTCATAGCATGTTGTTAAATTAAAAGCACACAAACTCTATTCATTGCCCTTGATACATAGAAATGTATGTGAATGAAAAATTAAAAAGGTGCCCGGAAAGATAAATTTATGGTCTGGGTTTGGGGTGGTATCAAAGAGATTATACTTATTTTTTTGTAATGTAAAAAATCGAACAGCTATGAGAAAAATGCTAACACTGGTCCAGTCTAGGTAATGGGAACCCACTGTCTGTTTTACTAACCTGTAGTTTTCTGTGATTTCTAAACTCCCCACCACAACCACCACAAAAGTAGTAGGAGCACAGTTTAGAGCAGTTTCTTATTTTGCCATGCAGACATCCACAGCCACACAACCAGATGCCATGGTCCGTCTGGCCACCTCCCATGGCATTTCTGTCTGTGGGAGCCATTCCAGGTGTGATGGCTCCACAGCTTGATGCTCCAGTGCAGACTTAGGGCATCTGCTGGTGACTATCATCCCCGCATAGGTGCTGTCTAGCAGGGCTGTTCCCCTGGCAGAGGCACAGCTTTTATGCATGAAGACCTATCCCAGGAACCATTCTTTGACAAGAAGCCGGACTTTTTAGCTCTCTCTCTTCACACGAAAATTCTAATCAGTTTGAGATTCACATTTGCCTTTTAGTCATCTTCCCAGGCTGGGAATCCAAAACCCTTGGGTTTTGTTCCTAAAACTCCACAGAAAAGTAGGTCTTCGGGAGCCATGAAAATTGTCCCATGCCTGTAATATTATTACAGCCCTTGTGTTAAGGTCCCTTTGCCTGAAACCATCTCCCCTTCTGAATGAGATCTGTATCAAAGTCTATTTGCATGTATTCAAAATCAGAGACAGCACTGAAACCAGACCCTATTTAAACATAGAAATAAGAGCAGTTGTAGATTAATCAAACATTGAGGAACTTTTAAAAAAGAAAAAGAAAAACCAACTTATATTTATCTTCTTATGTTTCCTTTTTTCCAGATCTGCAGTTTCCCTTCCATCAGCCAACCTGCGTGGGTGCCAAGTTCCACACATGATTTAATGCATAAGAAGGTCAGATATCAGGCTTGACTTATTTGCAAACTTGTGATTTTTTAGCTATTAATTGGTACTGTTTAGCATTATGGGAATTGTCTTCCAACTTGTGGCAAAGTTGCTTTTGTGATTCAACAGTCTTGAACTCTAGGTATCTGAGAGAAATACACACCATTAAATGAACTTAAAAATATATATATATCACAAAAAAAAATTTACAAAACACTGTAGAGAGTCCTCAAAAAGTGCACTCTTTTCACTTGTTATGCAGGAAACTTTTTCCCCATGAAGATCCAAAAGTGTCTTCCATGTGTCTTTTCATTGAATTCTAAAGAAGCTGAAAAAGTAGGTAAGAATTGATTAGCAAGCCACGCAGAGGTGATCACCTATTCACTGAAGATCCCCTTTCTTTACTGATAAACCTCAGAACTCCCCCTTTAATCATGAGGTGTGTGGTAACATCAAGCAGTCTGTTTGGGACACTGGGTCATAGTTTGGAACTCAGTTTGTTTTCATTATTAAAGCAACACAGTTTCAGTTTGTCTCTGCATTTAAGATTGTGTCAGCACTTTCTTCTGTGTGTTTATTATTTTTAGCAGTTTAAAAGCTCACCATGAAAAAAATGGCTTTCTGGCAGTAAGGTGACATTCAGACTGGGCAGCGTCTGGTGGAGTCTATAGAAATGCTCACTGGCTGCAGGAGTCCAGTCTTTTGAATGCTGTCTTTGTGCTTCCCCTCATCCATGGCCTCTGGCCTATTGTCTAGGCGCCTCAGTTTGGCTGGTGCTATCTGATTGTAACCAGTACTAATATTACAGTGCTCAGCGCCCAGGCCCTCCCTCAGGGTCCCCAGTCTGGCTGCCTCTGTCTCCTGGCCCTCCCTTGAGAAGACCAGTCAGAGCTCACACAGCATAAAACACTATTGGTGATTTATGGAATGTTCCCAGAAGGGGATCACTAAGCATCTTTGAGATTCTATGTTACACACACACACACACACACACACACACACACACACACACACACACTTTTTTTTTTTTTTTTGGTACCAGGGATTGAACTCGTGATCTTGCGTTTGCCAAGCAGGCACTTATGCCACTGAGCTAAACCCCCAGCCCACACACACATTTTTGTCATGTATTGCCACTCCACTTTGCCAAATGAAGTCTTACAGTGGATTTCACTTTGTAAAACATAGAAAAAGACAACAATTCTGTGGCTTCCAACTCTGCTCAGTCTCCTCTTCACTCTCTTCTAATCAAAGTGACTTCTGAGTTTCTCTCTCCACGGAAACCTGGACACCTCAGAATACCTAAGCACAGTCTTCCAGGGCAGTGCCATCAATTTACATATAAGGAAACAAAGAAGAGATTTCTATAGTTACGCAAAATATGAGGCAATAGATCCAAAAGAATGTGCAGTTTATTAATCCATTTTATATAGTCCTGGAAAAGGCATAATTAATATATGGTGATAGAAATAGAAGCAGAGGTTACCTCAGAGAAAAAAAGGGACTTGATAGGCAAGGAGAGTAAAGAAATTTTCTGGAATGATGCAAATGTGTGTCTTAAAGTGTAAGCTATGTGATATTTGTCAAAACTCATCTATCTGTGCATACTCTATGTGGGTTACATTTTCCTGAATAATGAATACAAAAGACATAAATAAATCAAAAAATAAACTAGATATATTTAATGAGTGGAAATACTATCACTGGATATTTGAATTTGCTCTGTGTGCTATGTATTGTGTCAGATCTAAGGTCATGATGCAAATTTTCTGAAGATTAGAGGCCATATTCTTCCAATATTTTCTTTGTTCAATGATCACTAAAATCAGAAAAAATAATCTCAGAATTTCAAGCAATGGACCCACTGATTAACCTCACATTTTCTAGCCCATAACATGATTCAGTGTACTATATGGAGGTTTGGGGAATCTAGATCCCGAGTATGATACTTGATTCCCCTGACCACAAAAGCAAAGAATTATCACCCTCCCAAGGTGTAGCTGCTAGAATGTGAGGCGCCTTAGAGAGGGACCATTTTTCACACGAGGTGCTCTGAGCTCTAGCGGCCCTAAGAGCCCCTTAAAAGTCTCTTCTGGGAGAAATGTTGGTGGGTGGGGTCCCCAACCCTAGATGTTATCTTTTATCTGTTTAGATATTGGGCTTCTCTAACAGATTCCATAGATATGAAGGATTCTCCAAGTTAAAGATGTGTGATAAACACATATATGGTATTTACTATCTGGTGTATATGACCTCCTCAATCAGCCAAAGGATATGTACTGATTTTCCTTCAAGCATACTGGCTTCTGCCTTCTAAAATGTGCAGGTGGACTAGGGTCCAAGTATGGCACATTCAAGGCTGCTCTGTATGATCACACTGATCCATACTCAGCCTGAGTTATAAATGGTCTAGGGATCAACTATACCTAATGTCATGGAAAGGTCCTTCCTGAGCCCCTTTCCAGAATTTTTACCCAATCAGGAATATTATCAAACACAGGAAAATATCAAAATAACTTCTGAGACTGCAGAAAGTGCTGAGCATGGAAATGGTCTTTGGCAGCTCTCCACCCAAAGTCATACTGATTATTGGCAGAGAAGATGCCATAGTAAGACCATGTCCCACTGAAGTCCTGGAAGATGCTGCTCCAATCTGGAGTTGCCATTTTTCAATAATCTCTATTTCACAGACATGAACCAAATTTTAATCATGCATTCCTTTGGCATGTATTGTTAATACTTTGCAGGAAATTCTTTGTAACTTTTTAGTCCTTGTTCCTATGCAGCTGAATGCCTTTTTTTTTTTTCCAGTGACCTATAAAATGCAATATTCTTCACATACACCTTAGCAGAGTAGAAGTTCTCGTGACTAAGGTTGAAAGACAGGCCTCTGGTAATACTTGTAAAACAGGCTACTCATTGAGTCAGTCTTTTTGCTTTTGGAAGGCGTCAAGTATTATCAAGTAATTACTCTCGGACCTGTATCCTTGCCTAAGATATCTGACCCTCTAACAATCACCTTCCTCTCCCTGAACTGCTGTGAACCAACACTATTTAAAATTTCCATTTGTTTGTTTTAAAAGTCAGGCAATAAAATGAAAGATAATTAGTTTGGTTGAAATACTGAAGGACATAGGCCAGGGCAGATAAGACAGACGGAACCAACTCTGCCTTGTAGATAGAGCCTGTGGAGAACACTGGGGCTGAGTAAAGCAAGGAAAATGTTTTCAAAAAGGAAATGATGACAGAACTAGGAAATAGCAAGAAAGGGTCATGTGGAGCCAGGGCAGAAAGGATTTGAAGATACTCAAATGTTCCAGTCTTCGAAGTGTATCATTTTTCTTCAGAAAGAACAAACTGCCTACTCCTTGGGTGATTTCCCAAACAAGGACCACAGCCTAGTTCACCCCCAACACAAATTTAATTCATTAATGAAGCATGGAAAAATTTAATCATCTTTAAAACATTTTTTTCAATAGCCAGGACATTTTTTTAACCCACACATATTGTGCTTTGCCTACATGACAAGCAAATTTCCTAATCAAACCAAATTTAATTAAGCAAGAGATTTTTCTCAGACTAATTTAGTTTAAAATTCATGCAAGAATAAATGACATTACATAATATAAAAGTTTGAGTAGAATTTGCTTTTTTGCAGTCCCATTGAAAGGAGTTACTTCAAGTCATTGTCTCAGTTAAATCAAACAAAAAATCCCAAGACAGAAATTTTATGTCTTCTGCATTCCAAGGATTTTGAGCAAGTGATTCTCCTAGAAGCATTAATAAATTTTCGTTTTTTTTCTCTTTCTCTCTTCCTTCCTTTCCTAGATATGCACCATGTGTGTGGTCAAATTTCAGTTTTCCATGAGAATGATAGAGTAAAATGGTAACTGACTTTCAATAACTCTTTTTTGCCTCTGCTAAGGATATATTTGTTTTCTGTTTCATTCATCACCAATATATTTTCCGTGTCTCTTGTGTTTGCTGTGTTGGTAGATGGCTGTTCTCTCTAGTCGGAAAGCTTTCACATTTCCCCCACATTACCCACTGGCTCACTCTCCTAGCTCTTGCAAGTCTTAATTCAGATTGCATCCTCTTCTTGAGGTCTACCCTGACTCCCCTATTTAACACGTCGACGAACCTCATTTGAAACCCAGCCCCTTTCAATCCTGATCCCCTTCTTTGCTCCATTTTACCTTGCTTTTTTACATAGACACTAATCTTTCCACATCTAAGCCACCTCTCTGCCATTCCCTTCCCTCTCCCTCTCTCTATTTACCCTTCCCTTCCTCTCTCCTTTCTTCCTCTCTGCTTCCTTTTCGTCCTCCCTCCCTCTCCCCTGTGGTCCCTCTGAGGTGATGATCTCATTATGTTTCTGAGACTGGTCTTGAACTCCTGGACTCAAACAATCTTCTTGCCTCTGTGCTGGGGAAACAAGCAGGAATCACCTAACCCAGTATTGTTTGTTGTCAATCTTTATCTATTAGAATGTAAACCCTGTGATAGCAGAAATGCAAGATCTTTGTCTGCTTTGTCTGAAATTATGCCTGGTACATAGTAAGTGCCTAGTACATAGGTTTTTAGTAAATAGATCGCTTTTATGATAACAGATAAACATTATCCAAGAGTTTCATAATTCATGTAAATGTATTAGTTTTTCCACTGTTCATTTATTGTCCATTTTAAAATTGCTCCATTGCTCCTCATTAGTTTGTAAGACTATCTTGTAAAAATGCTGTATTAAGTTCATACAATAGTGTCTGATTAGAATGTGTCTAGTCTGTCTTGTTGTCTACTGATGAACGTTTTAAACTGTTACCAGGAGTATTTGCCAACAGTCTTACTGCAAGTGTTTGGTTGAAATAGAAGCAAAATTTAAATTTCTTAATTACTAATTACATCTATGAGAATGGGAGAATGATCAGGGTCCTATAGCATTTATTCAGATGAAAAAATGTTTATCACGAAATGGTCGCCTCTTTAATGAAACTATTTTATTGTCTGTTTTATGTTAAATACGTATTTCTACAATGGTTGATTTCTGTGCTGTGCTGATGTATGTCACCAGCACTTTCAGTGGTGACTCTCTTGAGAAGCCCATACTGACTGGGTAACTTTTTCTTAAAAAAATGTGAGGAGACCATAGCAAAGCCAGCAATTTCTGGTTTGTGATTGTGCCTCTTGTTAATAATAAATGAAACAGCTAGTTACCACTTCCCTTTGGGAAAATATGTTGTCAAATAAATATTTATGAAGGTTTTCTCTATGCAAAACACGATGCTATGCCATAGAAAATGTCAAAAGTACAATCAGTTTTACTTCCCCAAAGAAACTTAAAAA